GTGAGATGTAGCAGGGCTTGTGCCATACAGACAAGAACCAGATGCTGCAGTGAGGTTTCATTTGTGCTTCTAGTTAATAAAATGGCTGCTCTGTTTATCTCTGTAGATTTTAAATTATGGTAAAGGAACCTGGCGCCTTGAACTAAGCACCTCTTAAAAATCACTTATATCTCAATCAATTGATAAATACTCAGTTCTAATGCAAATCTAAAGAATATGGACTTGTATCTCAATTACAATGCAAGCAACAAAAGAAGTCTAATTCATAAACAGGTTATATTAATAATTACACAAAAGGTTAATAAGAAAAAGCAAACCCAAACAAAGTAAGGGAACCATTGAATGAGGCCACCCAGCTGCCCAAAATCTAAAGTAAACAGCTGGTGCTTTGAATAAAAACACATCCTCATTTGTGATAATATTTCATCTAGAACATATTGGCCTGCTGGGTCTCGTTGGCTTCTCCATATATCCATTAAAGTACAGTAGTTTTTTTCCTGCTAACATGTACATCTTACTGAATCACAAAAACCTCAGTCTCTTTCTTCTTTTATGGCTTGGTTGACTTTGGAGAATGTTCAGCATCAAATTTTTAACCTAACCACAACAGGGCTTCTCTTTGTAGAATCTGGTCCTGGAATGTGCGGTACATACAGCATGATAAAGTTGTAGAGATTATACTAAAAAATTATTACTGTCAGTCCTGCTGAGAAGCTGCTGTGCCAAGCTAGCAGCACTGCGATGGGGATGCTTTTTACCTCCAAAGTCAACTGCAGTTTCCCAGTAGGTGACCAGCACTGACAGCATACCCTGAGACCTATCTCCTGCAAACACTAGTTCGAGGACAGCAGCTTGTAGCACTGACCCCGTGCCAGTGCACAGCAGCAGCCTGCAGAAGCTGATCGCCTGTGGCTACGTCCTGGTGAAGGCTGCTTACCTCTCAGGCCCATCCGGTCCTGGCTGACTAGCTATTGGAGGATATGGTTCAAATCTCAGGAAGGCAAGATCTGCCTCCGTGGACTTGAGGCAATAGTCGGGTCACCCCGGCGTGAGGCTCTGCCTTCTCTGACAGTAGGAACTACAGCCACCGCTCCCCGGCTGGTGCCAGGTCAAACAGCCAGGGAGACGTTGCCAGTGGATGCACAGAGGCAGAGATACTACAGGGGAGGCCAGCACATACAGCTCAGGATTGATCCGCAAAGTCTATAGTGATCGTTTAGCTCCTGCAGCCCTGGTTACTCAGGGAACTGCATTTAGGTGGCTGCTTCTCTTAAGCATCTATACGCATGGTGTGGACAAATGTTTTTCTGTTCTTCAGATGCCCTTGCTTTATTTTCAGAGGCACTTGTTTTAGCGGGGTATAGCTCTTTTGTCTCTAAACTCTTCAAGTATGGCTCTTCTTAGTATAAAATAAGTTTGTGCCTAGTGTGACTTTCACTGAAATCAGCCAAATCTAAGTCATGAAGGCCTTGCCTTTTATCGCATGCTTGCTTTTGCTGACTGCAGCGATGTGGAACCAAGCCTGTAGCCTGTCAGGAGAGTTATTAATGATTCTGGTGTTATAGGGCATTCAGTAACCAGGCTGTGATATGCAGTCATAATAATTTATACCCCCATCTAGAAACTAATGTTTAGGTGATGTAACTTGAGTCATTATTGAAGAAGGCAATGCAGTGAAAGGAAAGGGTAGGCAACCTTACTTCATTTGTTTTAAATATTGTAAACCTGGCGGAAATCATAGTGGGTTTTTTCTTTACCTAATCAGTTTATTTCACTTTCTGTGTTAGGTTTTTGCCCTTCGATCCGTCATATTTGCAGTATTTCCTTTAACTGGAAAAGAAAATGGATATTACGAGATAAAATGGTCTATAGAAACTTATGCCTATCTATTCTGGCACTGTGCTGGAGTCCCTGCTCATTGAACAGTGAAACTGAACGTTTTGCCAAGGATTCTGGATTTAATTCTGAATGCAAAATACGATTTCCAAAGACCCAGAGAAATTTTTTTTTTTTTCTTTGGCCCTAATTCTGCCCCTCCCAAAGAGCAGGAGCTACCTTAACATAAACTGGACAACTCTACTTCTGTAAGACCGGAGATTCGAGGAATATCTAAATCTGTGTCTTTTCTTCCAATGTGTAGAAATTTCAGTCACTTGTACAGTGGAGCTACAGTACCTATAGACCTGCAAGGCTGGCAGGCCACTTTGGCAGCACCCTCATTACTACATCACAGCTTTTGTCTTGAATTTTCATCTTGGACTATATCCCACCTGAAAAAGTGTATACGGTTGTTTGTGCAGCTCAAAACTGAGATTAGTATAAGGGGTTAGAAGAGTGGGGAAGTGGAAGACATGCTGAGATTCATGTCTAAGTTGTCAGCTTTCTCGTGTGATTTTTACTGTGAGTCAGTTAAATCTTCTGCTTGCTTCTTTACTTCCTAGGACTGTTGAAAATGCATCTGAATTTTTGCATCTAGTCAACAAAGGCCTACAGCTGAGAGTCAGGCACCCAACACTGGTGCATGCTCATTCCTCTCGTTCTCATCTGGTAGTTACACTGACCATAACCACAATTGTCTCTGGAGATAACTTTGGTAAGTAGGGTGTTACTAAAATACATCTAGAGCCAGCTGGTTTTTGAAAAACTCTCTGTGGACTGAGAGATCTTCATATTGTGTTTTCCTCCTTTTTCTAATGTTTAATACATTCCCTCAGTTCCTCTTCCATTGTTTAACTCCTACATACCTTCTTAAATAACAGACCAGTTTGATGTTCGAATGCTACTGAAACTTTCACTTTCATAAAAACTTTTACTTTTCTTTACAGCTTGACTTACAGAGTTCTTGACGTTTTATAGCATGAAACAAGTAATGAAATAAATGTTATCAATAAGGCATAAGATAAGGCATAAGATAAAATAGCTAAGATATCAGTAAGATAGATACTGAAAGACAGTAGTGAAATCACTTTGCATGACATATCATATAATTATGCAAAGTTTGTGGTAAAGCTCACCATGCATTTTAGGGATCATCATATGCTTTTGGGTGAGAAAGAATTACTTTTTTTTACCCACTGCCATGCAAAAACGTCCATTAAATTCAGAGTCTCTTGCACTGTTAATAATAGGCCACTGTAGAAACAGACAACATAGTTCTTTATTGCAGCAAAACCTGTATTTCTACTTATTACCATGCCTAGACTTACCAGTTTGTTGCTTTAGGAATAACTTTGGCTTTTGGGGGTTAACTTTGTTTTCTTTTGCTCATGTTGTAATTGGGCTCTCTGCTTCCAGTGCTGTGGTCCATCTCCTTCATGCTCTGCAACAACAATATGGTTTTAGAAAGTGGAAAATACTTAACATTTTTTCCCTTAGATTGCTATCAGAAATTAAACCGACAATATTAGCAAAACAGAACAGTGCTCTTGCTTACCTATCAGCCTTGCCAAAAGACACAGTTACTTCACAAGTTGCAGTTCCAGATGTTAGCTCTAGGCAGTTCCAGATTTTTGTCTATCAGACAGATGTAACTTTTCAAAACTCAGAGTTTGCACCATTAGCACACCAGCCATCTTGTCTAGTCCAGACTTCCTTCGCCATTTTGAATTGCAGTCACTCGACTATGCCATGTTGTCTGGCAGCAAAGCTCCATAGAAATGTCTAATTTATTCTGAGCGCAGACTGAGGCTTTCAGCTCATAGCGCATAGATGAGGATGTGCAATATGGGGGGGGAGCGTAGAGCAGCCCAGCAAATGGGACCTCACTATAGCACTGTGACAGTCCATTCTGTCTTGTTTAAAAGGAGTGATTCCTGATTTAAATAAGAAGTTACAAAGTCTATGATGAATTCTGCATCTAGAGTCAGGGTTGACAAACTTGTTTCGGTTTGATTAAAGTCTTTTAGCATTTTGTTTCAGTATTATCTGTCATTTGAGGACAGCAGTTACTTAGTTTCCTCATCACAACCTGAAGAGAAGTGGAAACATTTTTACACTGTATGGCCTGAAGCCATCTATTCTTTGTAAACCAACACAGCTGCTCTGTCCACACTGTGAACAGCTAGCTTGGGGTTTAGCAACAGCCTAGCTGGAGAGGTACAGAGGTCTGCAACCCAATTCGGTCTGTTCCTTGCTCCAGTTTTGCAGCTAGGAACTTTGTACTATTGCAAAAGAGTCTGTTGTTTCTATTATGTGTAGCAGAGTACATACCTGTTATTCTTTTTTGTCTTTCAGAGAGAGAGATATGGATGAAAACCAAAACACTGAAGGAAAAAAGCAAAACTGCTTAGGGAAGGCCCTTTTGCATATACTCCTGCTAAGCTGATGTCAAAGCAACTTTCCCAAAGAATCTCTCTTCCTCCTCCTTCCCAGCAGAGTGAAAGCCAGAAGCTGCTCTTGAGGAAGAGGAAGGATATGAAGCAGTCTAGTGCAGCTACAGAACTATTAGGAGTAGTAGGTAACCAACCTGAACAAGTGGGAGTAATTAGCTATCGAGGCTAATAGCTCATCATGTGGAGATGCAGCAGTGGCATGAGAGGGCTGAAGGAAGTCTAGAGGGAACAGCAGCAAAGGACAAAATAGAAGAGGCAGGATGAACTTTTTTTTTTTTGCCAGAGCACCAGCAGGTGATGTTTCAAATGCATAGAAACAGACTTCAGAGCTTACTGCTCCCAAATGTGCAAAACCTCACTTTGACTGCAGTCAATCTAAAACATGAAAAAATGCCTTATTGAAGTCTTTACTGGACTTGTCTGTCTTGTTTTCCACACAGAAGTGTGAACAACAGGGATATTAGATACAACACAACCTACACTAAGTCTTGTTACCAACTGGTACAATCGGTTTGATGAAAAAAACCCTTAAATGAGATAGTCATTCAGCCTGCCCGTGCCGTTGACTTGTACATTGCTTCTGTTGGAATAGCCTAAACCAGCAGATATTGTACCTCCCCTATTGATGCCCCATTTTTTCCCCATCTCAGTTTCCAGTGTCAGTGAGAAGCTCTTGTTTGTTTTTTCCATTAACCAGGTACTTCATGGGAAGATGAACAAACCAGTCAGAGACTAAATAAAGAGGTTTCCTGCACCTTTCCACAAAAAATGAGAGACAATAAATCCACCTCTTCTTCCAGAGCATCTTCACCAACACAGCTTGAAGCCACTGAGAAACTGAAACAAGTCAAAACTAGATTGCAGCTGGTGGATCTGGCTGGCAGCGAGTGTGTCGGTAAGCGAACGTGTCTGTTTATGGGCATAGATCATCCCAGATCCAGGTTACAACAGTCGCCTTTACCTCTTTATGTAGGGATATCTGCTACCCTGCTTTCACATGGGGTGGTTTAAACCCACAGACCCTGACATAAACAGAATTTGTGGGCCTGACTGTTCCAGTTTTACACTCGTACAGTTTAACTGAAAATCTGACTGCATAAGCCTAAAATAAGCCCAGGGCGGTTACCCATATCATAGGTATATTATTTGTTCAGACTGGTTTTATTAGGCCTGTTTTTCTACTCTGAAAATTAGCATGTCTTTGTACAGAAATGTTTAAAGTGCATAAATTATTTAAATATTACAAATATCTGTAATAATTGATATCACCATGTGTAGGTTTTTCTGCCTTACTGTGGAAAAAGTCTTGGAGGAAGTTAGTGTTGAAAAGATAATATTGTTTTCATTGTTTCTTCAAAGCATTTTCCTCTTCCCCCCTCCTTTATGCACACAGTAATTTCAAAAACTTGATTATTTCCTAAAGGACAAGCTTTCTTACCAAGAAAAGCCATGCAGCCAAATGTACCATTCCAGAAATAATGTTTTGAAAACTGAACCAGTATTATGAAAGAATCTTTTACTTTACTGCCAAGAATTTTTGCTGTTGCTCACTGTTAAACTTTTGTTCTACAGAGAAACCTAATATAATACATTATTTTTTTCATTTGCTCTAAGTGCTGGAAACTGTTTGGTAAATGTGCAATTGAGCAACAGTGTGTGTGTTTGTTCTCTCAGTCCAACCAGGACAAATACTTACTTGGTTTGGGGCTTGGCGGGCCAGATCCTCCAGTGAAGCCCAGAAGAACTGCGCTCACTTACATCAGCGTTCAGTGTGGCCCAGCACATACAGCAGACTAACCTCTGCCATCGGCTACACTGGTGGAGGTTTGGAGATGTTGGACTTACTCTGATAGAAGTGAGGGCAGCTGTTAACCTGTAATTGTTTTAAAATGCGGATAAATCTAAGAGAGCAGCGGTAGCAGGCATCTCACACACATGAAATGTACATCAGCACTCTGCCTTCTTAGCTCCACAGCCATCCTGGTTTACAGCATTTACTAAGTGGTCCCTTGTTAGCAAACTAGGTTTCAGTTTGAAAACTCAGCTAAATGCTTTGTGGGAGTTCATCTGACCAAATGTAGATAATCAGCAGTTTAAACATGTACCCCCTCATGTATTTGCAGTTTTCTGCTTTAGGGTGATATCCATTGTCTCAGGAGTCCACCTTCAGTTACTATAAAAGAAGCCTGGGGATGGCTGTAGACGCAGACCCCAATAAAGTTAGTCTGAGATACATCCTATCTCAGATTATTGACACTCTGTGGCAGGGTCTTCCAAATGGTTTTGCTCTGTGCCTCTCTGCAAAGAGACTCTACCCTTCCAGCCCCATCCTCTCCCACAGTCACATTTCTCCAGCCCTCACTGCCCAACTTTTGTGGTTTTTTTCTGTTACTGTGCCTTTTCACGCTTGCCGCTCGAACACCTCTCTTTTTCTCCCAGTTGGGAAAATGCTGGCCTAAAGGGAAAATAAGATCCTTAGCCACTCTGTACAGCCTCTTAGTCTCTCTAGAGGTGGGATAGAAGGCAGTTGTGAAACCTGTTAACCCCTTTGGACCATGCCGCTACCATTAGCTCTGCCTAGCATGGATCATGTGCTCTGGGCAATGAGAAGTGATTGCAAATACATCTGTAGCTCATCCACTATCCTGAAGAAAGGTTGAATTTGAATCATGTGATGCTAAATGCTAATGGCAAGTTTCTCTTCCGCAAATGGCAGAGGAGGAATTAATTACTCTTAACTGCACACTCACCCAGACTGATCACAGAGTTGAGCTTGCAGCACCTCTTGAAATTGGTGCAACTTGATTTCTAGACCAAATCTTTCCAGTGTTGCTTGAGGGCGGCACAGCTACTTACCACCATGCTGGGTGGATGGCAGAAGGGCATTGTTTTCCTGTATTGATTTCCTGACAGCAAATCATACCACAAAGAACAGCACCCTACAGGCTTTGGTGAACGTAAACCCCTCATGCTTATGGCTGCTGTACAGTTTTGTTTCTGTAGCTTATGCCAGCAGTGTCACTCCTCTTCTTCCTAAGGGATACAGTTAACTATTATAAAAAATGGTGGAACACAACCACCTTCCCTCTGGAGACACCGTGGACTGGTGTTTTCAAAAGCAGCGTTGTCTTGTCTGATCTTATGATGTTCCTGCTTTCTCACTTCCATCATACATACGGAGTCAAGATGCATCGTACAGCTGAAGAGATCAACTTTATCACAAGATACTTCAGACCATCTGCAGGCACTGAACCTTCTTTAACCTTCTTTCAAAGAGTAGAAGCACTGAACAATGTATTGGCAGTCTGGAGTAAACAATCACTGCACATTGCTCTTGGCATGGGTGGACTGGAAGTCATGGTTCAGAATTTGTGTTCAAAAATGCTGCATCAAAAGTAGATGATACAGCAACAGAATTTTTCACAATTACAGCTGAAGCAGCTTTGCTTCATCCTACCATTGTCTTTTTCTACACCGCACTAGGTATGTCTGGAGTGACAGGTGCAGCACTGAGAGAGACGTCATTTATTAACCGCAGCTTGTCTGCCCTAGCAGATGTTCTTGGAGCAATAGCAGAACAGCGATCTCACGTACCATATCGAAACAGCAAACTTACACATTTGCTTCAGGACTCTGTAGGTGAGAAATTATTCTGACTTTTGTTTAACAACATAGATTTCTTTTCCCAATCTTTTGCCTCCTTTGTTGTGTAAAACTAGAGGATGATCTTGTACTTCTCCCTTGTATGTGGGCCTCTATCTATTTAAAGACTCTGGCTTTGGAGCAGTGTGAGTACACAGTGAGAGGTCTGAACGCCTCCTGAATTTGGCTAAACCTTGGTGCTTCCAAGGTTCAGTTTAGGAATATACTTGTAAAAATCACAACATCTCTAGTAAGATTGTGTAACGGGTAATAATTGCATTTCACTGGTGTTTCATGCCAGGTACAGTTTACAAATTAAGCTTCAATCTTTGTTACTACAGGGTGTAGTCACATATTTGCACGTTCCTTAACAGTCTGCCCTGTAGCATTAAAACAAAGGAGGGAGACTCTGGAACACATGCATGTACTATGCTACAACTTCTTTTTGTGTTTGGGTTACCTCCTCTTCTCTAATTCCTCATCTGTGCAGAAATAGTTTTAAAGCAAGTGTGATTCCTGCAGTAATGTTAGATTTGTGTCCATCCGTATAGTGGATTAGTCCATTTTTAATTCAGCCAGAAAACATCAGCCCTTTAGTCTCCGGTTCAAGGCATTGACAGTGGCGGAGGTAACAGTTCTTCAGAACTTCTGAAAGACTATGAATTTTTGCTTGAACTTTGAATTTCACCTGGCGCTGGAGTCCCCACTGTGAAAAGGGAAAGCCAAAGAAAGAAGTGAGCTTAGGAGCTATGTTGTATGGGCACTGAGCCTGGTTTTAACCATGCCTGGTATATGACTTGGGTAACATTGATTAGGTGAAGTGTTGAAAGTGGCAATTTCCTTGTTTGTTTAATCATTCTCTGTGAGCTTTTAAGAAGTCTGTTTTGCTTTATTGTCACACAAATAAGCCATTTGGCCATTACCCTGAATTTACAAACATTTAACAAAGCTTAATGAAGTGCCCAGACCCATAACATATATGCAGACTAACTGATGAAGCTGTAAGGGGAAAAATCTACATTAAAAATTGTAAAACATTTAATCTACTGGGGCAAATATTATACTGTTAGATACGGAGTTCCCTTGAAGGAGCTGTCTGTTTTCAAGAGCCCTCTTCACATACAATCTTCTGCTTCATAAAAGCAATGGTAGCCTACACTTGTTGTTGTGTAGATAAACACATTACCAGTGTATAACTTGCTGAAAATAATGAAGTAAATAAGTACGATTTGCTTTTTTCCTGCTTTTAGGAGGTGATGCTAAACTGCTGGTGATGCTGTGTATCTCTCCTGACCAGAAGTACTTAACAGAATCAATGCAGTCTCTGGGATTTGGAACTCGTGCTCGGCAAGTTCAGAGAGGACAAGTCAAGAAAAAAAATTTCCCAGTGCCAAGTAAAGCAAAATAAAACTTAAGACTCCTGTGGATTAAAGTATTATTAATGAGTTCCTCAGACTGAAATGTATATTGTTGTCCTAAAGCCATTCTTCTAGGTATCAACTGCCAGTTAAAATAAACAATCCTCAGTGTGGCATTAGTAAGTCATAAACCTGCTGACAATGTTCTTACTCCAAAGATAATAGCAAGCATTGACAACAGCTACCAACCATGGTGGAATGACATAGAAATAAATCAGACTCTTTCAGGAAAGCTACTTCAAGACACGGCTTTGGTGATATGTTTCCTTTGGGCAAGTAGAGCTAAGTCAACAGAGCCCTGATGGGACTCTGATGCTTGCTTCAGAAAGGCCAAGGGTGCTTTCTGTTTTCTCAGGAGTCCAAGAATCATCCCAGTGTTTCAAAGCAGCAAGGGAAATACTTCCTCCCAGCTTGGATTAATACGAGACATGTCATCATGGCTTGCTCTTCTGTCTAGTATGGATGGGGTCATTCCTAATGCACTGTCAACAGGTAGGAGTGTAAAGGAACCCATCAGCTATATTGCATGAAGTTCTGTTCTCTCATTTTAGATAGGAAATAATGGCACTAGTGAGATGGAGAAAAAGGAGTAAGGCTGTATCTGTTATCCCTCTGGAATGTAGCTTAGGAAGCAAGTGAAGGATTATAAAGCTTTTTGAAAATGCACTCAGGTTAACTAGTTGGAGCGAATCCCAACTCTGCTGAGCTCACTGACTACAGTTTTGCCTGATTTGGTTTGGTTTTTTCCCTTGAATGCTAAAGGTCCTGAACTTCAGATCCTAATGGCTAATAGGTCCTAACTTGTACAACTGTTTTAGCAGCAGTCTGGCCTGTTGTTTCACTTGCATTTCTGAAGCAACCTTGAAGATGTGCCTGCACATTAGAAAAAGTTAACTACACACTTCCCATCCATCACATGAATAAAACACCAAAAACCCAGCTCGTGAGATGATGCTTGTCATCATCAAGAGGCTTTCACCCTCTTACATCAATGTTGAGACATTGTGCAGGGCTTGTGACTGAAGCTACATTGGGAGAAGTCTGAAGGAAACTGAAGCAATGTTAGAGATGAGAAGCAGTCCTCAGACAAGTAGTTGAGTTCAGATAACGTCTGATGTGTTTTACGCATTGCGTCATTACTCTGCAGAGGCTTTGCAATCCACTCTGAGTTTTTACCTCCAGCAATCACTCTGCCTCTAGACTGGGAGAGAGGTCAGTGGTAGGTCACTGCAAGAAGGCTTAAATTGCAGTGGCCTGCCCAAAAGGCTCGAGTTTATAGTGCTCCAAGTCACTAAGTCTTCACAAGCATAAATATTTATCCAGAGATTAGATGGCATACTATTATTGGAATTTCACCCTTGAATATGTAACAGCTGCTGTGTTGCATGCAGTGCTGTGGTGCTCAGAACATTAGCATCACAACCAAAGAGCAGTAATAATACTTGTTTTCCTAAATAATGTCGCAAGGGTAAAAATGCCTTAACTTTACCTGATTCCAACAGTAACATCTGAATCTGGACATGAGACCTCAGGAAGCTCAATGGTCACTAAAGCAATCTTAGGTGAGAAAGTAGCCAGGGTGAGGTACGTTAGCCTGGTAAAGGAAACACAGCAGCAGGCAGCTTCAAGCTCGCCTCAGTCTCCTGACAGCTAGGCTACTTAAAGCAGCCCTGATTAGAGCTCTAAAAGAGGTCAAGGGAGGGCTAGCTGATTCCAGCAACATCTTCAAGTTCCTCAAATATTTTTAAGGATCTGGTATTTCCTAAGCATTGCATAGAAAAGTAACTTGCCATGAACCATGCTTTCTTTTCCAGAGCTGCTCTTCAAAACTTGGCATTTATTTACAATCTGTGCGGTAGGGAAAAAAGCTGCAATACTTATTGTTAAAGCTGAGAAATAAACCCCTCAAATATCAGCAAACACTAAAAGTTTCAGTTGCTACATTATCATTAACTCTGCCAAATTGTGCATATGCAGCATTCCCTATTCCTGTTTTCCTTGTCAGCATAGCATATCACTTGCTGTTTGACCTGCACAATGAAGTGTACAGGATATGCAGGGTAGCAAAGTTAACATTCTGCCCTCAGAACTTTCAGTTTTGGAATTTCATGGGTTACAGAGATGTGACTGCTCAATCCCAGAGTCAGATGTGATGCACTGAAGGAAAGAAGGTTAAAAGTTGTAAATGGCTTTACGCCAGCACCTAAGCTGAATTGTCTTCTGCCTGAAGATTCACTCAGACTTGCTAAAGGAGGGGCAGAAATCTTCAGACATGTAACTAATGTCCTGACGAGCAAGGAAAGCAGCATCTGCAAGGCCCTATCCTTCTCTGCCATGGTTGGGGTGTTTTTTTGTTTTTTGGGGTTTTTTTTTTTGTTTTTTTAGCTTCAGATCTTTCAAGCTTTGAATGACAGCTATGTTAGAAAAGCAGCTGTGACAGATATTCACAGAGCTGACTTTAAGCTTTCCTTTGTGGACCAAAACCTATCCTGATAAACCAGTCCTCATCATTTTGGCACTGTAAAACTGAAACACAGGTACCAACACTGGGAGAAATAAAGAAAGTGATATTTGAAAGGATTCTAAAAAAATTGAGACAGGATGTCATAAGCACCAGGAAAAAGGTGGTTGTTTTAAGAGTGCCAATGTAGTCTATTTGCTAATACAGCTTTGCTTTCTGGGAGGGCAGGGGTGCAACCAAAGGAGAGTAAAAACTATATAAATCAGGAGAAAATCGTTTCAGTGAAGCCTGCAAGTGCATAATCCAGAGTTCAGCTGGTGTCTTAATGCATTGAAGCAGGAGAGCTCTCAACCCTGCTCTACCTCCTGCCAGCTCAGCCAGACGATTGCATCACAGTTTTGGAAGGCATGCTGCTCAGTGCAGGGGGATCCTCTCCTCTCCACGATCAGCATGCCTTGGTGGCAGTCAGCACATTAACCTTTCACTGCTGGGCTCTCATTCTCCTCCCCGGACCCCCACTTTCTCCTGTGACAGTTCAGCCACTTCCCAGCTATGTCACACCTTCCACCATCCCCTGGCCAGCCATACAAAATAGGCATTCCTCCACACAGCGATGCAAGGCACCACAAACCCCAGCTACCCACTGGCCTGGTCTTCAGGCGTCCCTCTTGAATTTATTGTGCCTTCTTCCTTGCCCTGCGGATGAGCTGAGCAAACCATGTTAGCAACAGTAGCTAGGAGCCGCCACCTCCTCCTCAAAAAGCCTACCCATTATTGAAACCACAGCAAGCACAAGAGAATTTGGTCTTGTGAATACTTCAGTATTCAGCATCCTGGTTTAGCGTCAAGCTGGCCAAGGAGTCAATGGCGTGAAGCCTGACCAGCACAGCAGCTGCCTGGGAGGCCCAGGGTCTGGCGTTCATGGCAGTGTACCCCCAGCACCTCACGTAAAGGTGGAAGCTGCTTCCACACTGCGAGCCTCAGCCCCTGGCACCCTACTCACATGTCCTCTAATCCATGGGCCGAGAACCTTCCCAGAAAGCAGAAAATTTGAAACCCATTCAAAGACAAAGGACTTGAGCTCGTGTCTCTCCCCACACAAGTGAACGCTCCGGCTTGTAGGACAGCCAGCAGAGCTGGAGGTGGGGCCGGGAAAGTGGGACTCTAACAGGCCAACTCCTAGCTCCTCATAGCAGCAAGTGCTCGTCTAGGGCAAAATACACAGATATACATATGCAGACCTACACAAATGTAGCAGGAGAAGTCTAGACATATCTAGAATCAGACAATAGCCTTCAAGGTACAAGTCCAAAATTTGGCCCAAAACTGCAGCTTGGTGCCCACATTTCTCTGTGGATTTATCATTACAGATGGAATTTATCAACACTGGCAGTTGGTTCCCCTTGCAGCCAAGGCAAAGGAATTAAGGATGCACTTTCAGCAAGTACCTCTGTCTTCCCAGTCTAGCGAAGGGGTCCAGGCAAAGGGTTTAGAGCCCCAACTCTCAGTTTGCCATGGCTGGGGAAATGGATTGCTCAAGGACCCAATTTTGAAAGACATAAAACCACTGTGGAGGTTTTTCACTTTGATCCCTACCATACCTACCCAGCTCTAATGTAAAGCTCTGCAGTGCTGGTCCAACACCCCTTCTTTCTGCCTTTGCAAATCTGCCCCAATTCACCTGCAGCACTCCACTTTCCACGTAGGGGGAAGGCAGCATGCAGTGGGGCAGAGCAGAGTGCGTGGCATAGGAGCTGCCCTCCATATTCCCCACAAGGATGTTTTTTCAGCGCCTGCAGGGAATGCCTTTGTGCAAGGAGCACCACGCAGATGGCCCTGGAGCATAGAAACGCCAAAAGTACCGAAGTCTTTCACAAAACAACTTGGCATTTGAGCAACAACATTGCAGAGCCGCCCCATGCTGAGCACGTGGCTGCTGCGCTGTAAATTCACACTGCAGTTCGTAACACTCTGCAGACAAGCCATTAATCTTCCTCACCACCTAGGAGTACTCATATCAGCAAAGCCCAAGGAAGCGATGTGATCTGCAATTGCTTAACAGTGCTGCATCTCATCATGGGGTTAAAAAAAGCAGTAATTAAACCACCCAGGGCCTTTGGCCCACTCTTAAACAAAACTTTGACCTATGCTGACGTTTTAAAATTATATATTTAATTTCCACGTGTGGCTTCATGCCTTGGCAGCAGCCACACCACAAAGAGAGGCTGCTCTTGGTTTTAGCCAGACTAGGAAAACCATAATTAGCATTGGAAAGTTCACAAAAATGTTTAATTTGTTATTAAATTGCCGATTCCATTTTATGAAGCACTTTTCCAAACCACTGCAGAATGCGAGCACAGGCAGAATGAAGCGGTTATTGGGAAAGGCTTTCAACTCCTGCTGTGGACAAGCAGTTGCAAGCTGATGGGCTTGCAAGCCCCTTCCAACCGGGGAAGAGGCAGCAGTGTCCGCTCATGGAGGAGCGGACGGGCCCAGGGTGCAGGAACACCAAAGGTACCACAGCCTTTC